ATTACAATTCGTTTCGGCGTGCTAGTGATTTACGAGAAACTTCAGGTTTTAAGCGATTTACACAGTAATCGTCTGTATACATGTGATGTATGTAGTGCATGGACGATTGCGCACAGTACATTCTTTCTCTCTCCCTTCCTCTCTTTCTCTCTCCCTTCCTCTCTTTCTCTCTCGCTCGCTCTCTCTCTCTCTCTCTCTATCTCTCTTTCCCTCACCTCTCTCTATCTCCATATCCCCTATTTCGCTCTTCCTCTCCCGCTCTTCACCATCCGTCACCCTCTGCGTGTCACGGGAAGTGGGGAAAGGAAAGGAAAAGCATGACATTACCTCATTCCTAATCATAATATCAGGAGTCTATCGTATATTGTATATCTATTGATAGACTCCTGATAATATTACACGAAGTGACTGCTACGACTTATAATAACAGTAGCATGTTTACAATGTACCAGATTCAAATGAACTGTCTCGAGTGCATAGACCGGTTGCTCGACAATCTGGACAAGATGACCATACTGGATGAGGTACTCCCGTTCCTGTTGGACATCCAGTCACATCGAGGAAACCCACCCGAGGTCATCATGCCAATAGTCGGTGAGCATGTCTCGCAGGAGTAAAATAGTAAGACGCCAGTAAAAATATTCGTGGGTAAATACTCTGATGGTTTTACCGATGATTACATGATGATGCTCACTTGTTTTAGGTTTGTTACATGTATTGGATTTGATTAGATTTTTCTCTCAAATTTACGAGGCAGGTGCCTCCTTGCTCTCTCATTCATAGGCTACGAACTTTCACATTCTAACACGTTGTCATCGGCAATGACTAACGCCACAATAACGTCTTATAGATAATCTCAAAAACGGTAAGGTCGCGTGAATATCATCATTTGCATATAGTCAATATTGACTTCTCAAGCTTCATCACATTGGCGGCTCAACAAATAAAAAACCCGTATATCTTTTGCTGCGCATAAAGTCTCTGTTCACTCTTCAGATATCTACAGGCATATGATGTGCGACAAGAGGTTTGGCATGACCCACAGTCTTCTTGCTTCAAAGGTCATGCCAACACTACTGCCTTATACTATCAACCCTTCCCTCCGTGTGGAGGAGGTGAGTATTAGCTATCTATTGGTAATCAATAAAATACTTCGATTACGTGAATATTTATAGAATCAAGAGAAGATAATAGTCTCCTGATGCACATAGGACGTTTATTTTACGTGATATTACAATTTTATATGCTATTATTATTATTTATTATTTTTTACTATTATGTCATATTATCAGTAGTGTCATAATATAGATGATAATGATGATGATGATGATGATGATGATGATGATGATGATGATGACGATGATGATGATGATGATGATGATGGTGATGATGATGATGATGATGATGATGATATGCGATCTATATTATGACACTCCTGATTATATTATATCCTTCCCATATAATTTGTTGTGTGCATGATTGGTAGAGACTGTTTTACAGATCATAAAAGCACTATTTAAGAGCATAAGATGTCTTTAACGTATTGATTCGCGAGTAAATTCTGTTCCCAGTACATTAGTCCGGTGCAGTCATAACCCATACATTATGTGTTGTACCCACTGCACCCAGATCACTCGGTGTGGTTATTGATAATATAGAATCGTAATGTATATAGGTATGTAATTGCTGTTGCTTTGCAGTTTAGCGCATTGATAGAGGTGCTCAAGGATATGCTAGATATAATCGACAGGAATCAGAAGAATAAGCTTAGCATTGAGAGCCTGCCTGTTCCTGGCTCTGATAAGTAAGTCCATATTCTACAACTATAATTATATCAATAACTATAATTAGCCGTATATATATATATATATATATATATATATAATATCAAGAGCTAATAATACCTATAATAATAATAATATAATATAATAATTATTAGTTGCTTGATAAATGATGAGTGACAATACTAAGATACTAATATTAATACATGTATGTATGTACTGCGTGTGAGCGTGCGTGCAAATACATATATACTTCAAATCTAAATCAATATAATATTATATAAAATAGTATATACTATTGTGCCGTAAGCGTGTGTGTGCGTGGTGTGTGTGTGTGTGTGTGTGTGTGTGTGTGTGTGTGTGTGCGTGTGCGTGTGTACATTATATGTGCGTAACGTGACCCTATCCGTGTGTGTTCAATGTTTGCTCTCTCTCGGTGCTCTTGTGACATCCTATACGCGATCGAGAGTCCATCTACGAGAGCTAAATGGATGCTGACCTCTTCGCGATACTTAGAGAAAACGTCTACAGATTCGCTGCTAAACGCATTAGAACAATTGCAGGAGTTCCAAAGACCCTTGAGTTTCATCCACAATGACGCTATTCTCTCAGCACTCGAGTAGGATAATGGCGTTTTTTTGCACGTTCATTTTATTCCCAAAATACTTCAGAATAGCGCTCCCGTGTGTCTGTGAGCGTAACGGGAGCGTGACATTTATTCGCTGCGTGGGGAACTGTACGTGAATTGAAGCGAGATGACTCGTGATACGTATGAGTGACGTATGACACGTATGAGTGACGTATGACACGTATGAGTGACGTATGACACGTATGAGTGACGTATGACACGTATAGTGACTATCGCCGAAATTGCGTGTCTTTTTCACTCTTATTGCGTAAATGGTTACTGTACTACTACGAAGACTGACCGACCACGCACAAGGCAACAAGAACATGTTTGGCATGCCACTGAACGCGACGTCACGTCGCTAATATTTCTCTCATCCTTGCAAACAGCTGGCGCGCAGCGAATGTTCAAAGCAAGATCTACAAAAAAGCAATCTGCTGTTGAAATTTCGCGCAAACGAAAAAACCGGAAGTAGTATGAAATGCTGGCGGAAATTCCTCCGTGTGTCAATCTATAAATGTTTCTGTGGCTATTATGGTAACCCCAGAGGTGATCACAGACGACGATGCCATGTCGGCTTCAACAGCCTAGCGATCAATCAGACACACGTGGCCGATCATTTTTCAACTTGCTTTGTAAGCGGCTCTGCCGCGTACGACACAAAATTTGTTCGCGTAGGCCGCAAGTAAATTGATGACGCATCGCAATTCCGAACGGTTTACATTCCGATCTCGATCATTAAACTACTTATGCTGTCAATTTAACTACTTATGCTGCCAATTTAACTACTTATGCTGCCAATTTAACTACTTATGCTGCCAATTTAACTACTTATGCTGTCAATTTAAATATTTAAGTTGTTTCATAACGACATAGAATAGTATGCTAACGCATTGTATTCATGAATGTCATTCGCTTTAAACTCCCAAATTTTAAATGAGAGTTAAATCGCATTTCTCCTGCATGGTTTCATCGTCGTTCTACGAACTGTTTAATCACACGTTTCAAACGCCACGTGGTATAAACCTGTCGCATCGTCACTCACAGCGACTTACAAATGATCAGCCGACAGATAAAGACGTTATCCTACGTCGTACGCTGGCGAGCGCAGGATGCATTTAAATGAACGAAAGATTTACTTTTGTGCTTTGTTTTACGATTAGGGGGCTCGACCCGAACACGGTTCGTGACTACAATGCTTAGGTGCATCGATTGACCATAGCGCGATAACGCGCCTTCAATATTGAGAAGGCAGCCATCACTCACTGGGAAAACGGGCTGCTGGTGAAGTAGCATTTTACGCTCAATGCTGATGTTGTCGACGCATTAGATTCGGCATTTTTATACGGAGAGCTAGGCGGCTGATTCAAGCTAGCATGGGAAAACAGACCGCTGCGACTTCACAATACTAATAGTATACTGAATGCAACAAGGAGAATTTAAAATGAAACTTTCCCTGAACTGTGTAAAGTGGATGTGCGAAATAAAATGTGTCACACTGTCTGTTACGTGAACTGAAGCGTGCCAGTAACAATGGGAGACACGTTCAATATTGAACGAACGGATTTTCATTCCCACATATCCGCTTGAGTGAGCGGGCATGACAATCTGTCATTACATTTATTGTCAATGTTATTCAATGGGAAGTTGCTGCATGCACTATATCAGGAGTGAATAATAATAGATTATAATAATAATAATAATTATAAATATATCCAGGAGTGAATAATTATAATATATAATTTATAATAATAATAATAATAATCTATTATTAATATTCACTCCTGACTATATCTTACTATCAAGATCTGTTTTATGCGAGTCTTTTCTATTATTCGCTGATTGAAATATATTCATCTGCGCATTTTCTGAGCACAGCGGACATTAAGGCAGAAGACACACTGCAGGGCCGTAACCTGCGGGGGGAAAGGGGCAGCTGCCCCCCTTAGATTTTGGAGCAAAATTTAAAAAATAAATTGTTCTACTAAAAGAGATTTGTCGTAGTCAGAATGAAGGCTGTACATGTACTCAAACGTGCCTCAAATACTATTAATATATATCTCCTGCGATCTACATTTTCAAATTTTTCTGTGGGAGGACCCCCAGACCCCTACCTGTTTCTCACCCCCTCCTCGAAATCCTGGATCCGCCACTGCCCCCCCCCCTTAGGAATTTGCTCAGCCTACGGCCCTGCAGTCCCATCACATTAATCATCTGGCGATTGCTGCTGGTTTAGAGGTCACTATCAAGGTTAGACGAGCTTGTTCGTGTTTTTCCTTGCAGGCCATACATTATGAGGCATCGGCACTCGATGACAGACGCTCCTTCACTGGAGATGCTTAACTGCGTAGCAGAAGGCGCGGGAGAGTCTCTCAAGTATTACTCAATATAATATGCATAATAACCGCGCTAAATTATATATATTTATTATCTTTAATTATCTTTAATTATTTTTATTATTAATTGTCTAAATTGCAGTTGTGCTTCGTTATCTGTACTGTAATTTTATGTGTAATAGTGTACGTTGTGCGGCCATTCACCCCTGATGTTAATTATTTCACATGCACAGATTCTGTTTTCGTAAAATATCTACACAGACGTCTTCCTAAAATTATAATAAATTCGTTTGGTCTGTAATAACCACACGGCATGCCGCCGTATTCAACTAATTATCAAAAAAATCTTACTCAGAGTTATTAAGACACTTGCGGTTTAAATTAAGTGGCTATATATATAAGTATTGTTAATTTTTGCGCTGGTGTTAGGCCAAGGTAAATATAGCAAGATAATTTTTTTAATTCGTCGGGGAGTGCGATAATAAAATAAGTGTCATATTCTGTTCACGTTTCAGTAAAGCAAACGTTCAGTTAAGTAACCGTTCACGTCAGCACGGGATTGTCACGTGCTGAAGAGATCTGTGTGGTTCGATGCAACGTACACGCCGTTCCCAGAACAGCGATTTTGAAACGCTTTATACGTTTATACTAGTTGAAGAGTCTAGGGTTCGAATCTGGGGTTGGAGTCCTGCCGTGGTCACCGCTGATGTGCCCTTGTGCAAGACCCTTTATTCCGATTTGCTTCAATCGACACACGCTTTATAAATGGGTTTTATTATGGCAATAGGACAAGACACCCAACCTCTCCATCTAAGAGAGTAGCCTTGCTTGCTGATACAAAGGGCAAAACAACATATATAGTTGCCGAGGCATTCTACTCGTTTTTAAGACATGCGGACACTGTTATGTCGTTGACATGCGGACACTGTTTCATCGGGGACATGCGGACACTGTTTCATCGGGGACATGCGGACACTGTTATGTCGTTGACATGCGGACACTGTTATGTCGTTGACATGCGGACACTGTTTTATCGGGGACATGCGGACACTGTTTCATCGGGGACATGCGGACACTGTTTCATCGGGGGACATGCGGACACTGTTTTGATGGTGACATGCGGACACTGTTTTGATGGTGACATGCGGACACTGTTTTGATGGTGACATGCGGACACTGTTTCATCGGGGACATGCGGACACTGTTATGTCGTTGACATGCGGACACTGTTTTATCGGAGACATGCGGACACTGTTTCATCGGGGACATGCGGACACTGTTTCATCGGGGACATGCGGACACTGTTTCATCGGGGACATGCGGACACTGTTTCATCGGAGACATGCGGACACTGTTTCATCGGAGACATGCGGACACTGTTTCATCGGAGACATGCGGACACTGTTTCATCGGA